ATAGTTGCAACACACTATAATGGGAAAATATTTTATGTCAAAAGTTGTACTATAACCCTTATTATAATCTCATAGCCCACTAAATTATCCTCTTAACAATCTCTCTCCTCCTTTTTAAGTGTTCTAAATCACATGTGACTCACTTTTCTTAAATACCGTGAAAAAGGGGAGAAAGTAGGTAATTACATACTTTGTTGCAAAATGATTTAATTAAATTCATATGATCATATGACGAGAGCTGATATACATACAACCATTGTAGGTTGTCCCTACATACAACACCATTAAAATTTTGACACATCATTAGAAAAAGGGAGAAAATTAGAAGTCAAATATATATTGAATATAATAGAACTTGGGTCCATTGTTCTAGCCAATCAAAACATGACAAATTAGAGTTGTATGTAGGGACCACATACAACAATTGTATGTGTAGCCTTTACCTCATATGACTTGGTTATCACTTACACAAGCTTAAGAGCCCCTTGGAGAAAGGGTTCATTTAAGAGCTACATAAGTTGTAATCCTATAATTTATCAATAAGATACTTGTACTTTAAAGTATTAGCGATTCTTAAACCAAAAAGTACACAGGGTCAAGATTTTAACCTTTAACCTTTACTCAAAAATATACTCGTATTGCAAAGTACTTAAACCATTGTGACACAAGTTCCAGCAGGCTTACAACAATTGTTCTTGTGGGTTGTTATTCATAACATTATGATTAGTTCCATTTGTTGACTATTGCCAATAGGTAAGATTTAATCAAGATTAGAATTATTTAATAGCGACTGGCGACACCGTGGGCCAGCTGACACACACCAAGTAACCCCTAATCGACTGGGGCGTAACACTTGATTGACCGAATAACTCCTAACTGACCAAATTACCCTTGACCGAGTAACTCCGGACCGAGTGAGTAACCCTCGACCGAGTAACCACTGATCAACCAAGTAATCCCTAACCGACTTAGTAACTCCACACCGAGTGAGTAACCCCTATAACACTAACAAAGTAACCCCAACCCCATAATTATTGGCCACACGATGTGACCAACTACATATAAAAGTTTGTATTACTAGCAATGCGTGTATATAAAAATACTATGTGAGATCATTTTTAATTTCTATATGACTTTTTATGATAAATATTTTTAGATATTATGATTAATTGTAGGCATTGGTGCCATGGAAAAAAAAAAAAACAAAAAAGGATATAACATAATTAAAACTTGTGGGAGTGTGTTTATTGAAATTGGAAATATAAATATATAATTCATCTATATTGACAAGATAATTTATCATATACGATATAATTAATTATAGCGTGTTTTGAGTGCGTTCATCACACCACATGATCGCTTGTAAATGAACAAAGTAACTCTTAGGCCCTGTTCACATTTATTTAATTTCAGTTCAGTTCAGTTCAGCTCTGCTCCAATCAGTTCAGTTCAGTTCAGCTCCAATCTGTTAAATTCAGCTCATAATTCCCTCTCTCATAAAAATATTCATTTCAGCTTAGTACAGTTAAGTTCAGTTCAGCTCCAATCAGTTCAGTTCAGCTCAGTTCAGTAAATGTGAACATGTCCTTATAACATTGATCAACTAACACATACGACTGAGTAACCCTTATAACGTTATTAAGTAACCCTTATAACTAACACCGACGAAGTAACCTCTGTAACAATGATCGAATAATCCCTATAACACTAATGAAGTAACCACATGATGGTAGGCCATACGGTGCCACATATAAAATTTTGTGAATTACTTATGTCCCCCACTCTTTTTATTAATCAATATATATATTATTTGTTTATAAATGTTCTTTTTTTTTATTTGACAAAGGTTTTCCCTTTATTTTGTCATAATCGTAATACTTTGACTTTTTCACTATTTATATGTTTATTTTGACGATAATTTTTTACCATTATATGTATACTAAACATATATGGCCATGTAAAATATTTTTGGATTAGTGTATTTAAGTATATTTTCATTGTATTAAGGGCCTTTTCTCTTACGTTGAAATTCAGTTCAATTCAGTTCAGTTCAGCTCAGTTCAGTTTAGCTCAATTCAGTTCAGTTCAGTTCATTTCAGCTCAGTTCAGCTCAGCTCCTAATTTCCTTCTCTTATAAAATATTCAGTTCAGTTCAGTTCAGTTCAGTTCAGCTGAGTTCAGTCAATGAGAACAGGCCCTAACCTTTTATACAATCTAATGAAAATATACTACATCCGTTAAGTATTAGTTGCAAATTTGGGGTAATATTTGAGATATATAGTTGCAACTAATATTTAATAGAGGTAGTAATTACAAATTAAATATTAATGGTCAAAATTGTGCATTGATATGTGTGCCAGTCAAGCAAAGATCTGGCTTGGGATATATGTCCATTTTATATAGTGATTTATCTCGTCCCTTGGTCATATTTAGGAGTATTTTTGGCTCTACGGATCTATTTTTATTACCAATATGCATTTTCTAGTGTTTTCGTAGATTTTGGTATTGCTTTGTAGGAAATTGCAGATTTGGAGTATTTCCCCGGAGTTAGTTGAGCCACTATGAGCATTGAATTTGGATCGCATTGATATGACCATATTGCATAGCCCAAGATCGTGTCAGAGTAATTAAGAACTGTAATTAAGGGCTTGCGAAGAAGAAGAAGCTGAGGCATTGGACTTGCTTCATAGAAGAAAATATTTGGATTGGGCCGAGTAAAGGATCCCAAACGAGGAATCCAATGTTACCTGATGGACTTGCCCGATCGACAAGTGTTCTCGCCTTGAGGCGCGCCCGACCGCGCGAGGAAGAGAAAGAGCAGCAACATCTCTTCTGAAGGCGTGTCCTACCGGGCGAAAGAGATTGAAGGAGCACCATGAGGCTTATCGGCCTGGTCGACCAGTCATGCTTCCTACCGGGCGCGTGTTTTTGAGGGCGTTTAGAGATGACTAATCATAGTCTTAGTTTAGATTTCTTAGCTTTAATATAAATACGCTTTTGTCAAGCGAAACTATTACATCTTCCATTAGTTAAAAATTCCAAATTTTAGTTTTAAGCTTACATTAGTATTTTGTTCTCTCAACACTCTTTGGTTTATGCAATTTATTAATTCCATTTATTTTGGTAACGATTTTCTTCTTTTTATTTCTCGTAATTTAAATACTTTGATTAGTTATGTCTTGTTTAATTGTTTTCTTAGGTTAGATTTCAATATGTGTGAGTAGTTTATTTCTACGGTTAGGGGGTGATTTATTATTGATGATTGTTAATGCTTTAGTTAATTTCCTATTGATTGATTTAATGCTATTCAATTAGATTAGGCATGGTTTCACTGTTTAAGTTATGCAATATTGATTTGAGATTCGGCAAATGAGAATTGATGTTTAGGCTTAGTTTCAATAGGCAGATTAATTTATAAATGGTTAAGTCAAGATTTGAGAGATGCGATTTAATACCGCTAGATTTACTCTGTGATTGTAATACGTAGCAAAGTCTTTTATGATCTTATTAATTGATGCATTGATTTTTATGCTTTACATACCCCTGAGTATTATTGGTGAACCTATACCCTAGGCTTTGATTTATTGTTATTCCTATTATTCTTATTCACGTTAGTTTATTTATTTCCCTTAGTTTAATTCTCATAAAATTATATTTGTTACTTGATAATTTAGACCATATCAATTCTTTAGGAGTAGAAATACATTGCTTTCACGTGGATTCGACCCTACTTCCCTATCTATTTTAGGTAGAGGACTTAAGAATTACTTTTGATTTGGTGATATGACTAGAACCGTCAAAATTTATAATAATACAGAGGGAGTAATATTAAAACAAATGAAACGCATTGCAACCTATTGCAAATCAAACTACTCACAAGTTGCAGGCTCCAAAGCACTTTTTCGTGTCAGATCGGATCAGGTTTGTCGCATAAGTTTTTGATTTTTGACACCTCTAAGGACGTAAGATTGCAAATCCAGATGGGTGTGCAATGACTTTATAATATGGATTAATTTAATTACTCTATTAGCAAGGGTTTTGCTTAGGCAATTTAAGAGCATGTTATGTTCACATTTACTCAAGTGAGCTGAACTGAATTGAACTGAACAAAACTGAATAGAGTTGAAATGAATATTTTATGAGAGAAGGAAATTAGGAGCTGAACTAAAATAAACTGAACCGAACCGAATTGATTGGATCTGAACTTAACTGAACTGAATTGAAATTAAGTTGAAATGAACAGACCTGAGTCTTTAATTAGGCTAACTAATCCTAAGGTCCAACTAAGTTGGTTTGTCCTAAAAGGCTTAGGCTGGGTTAATTGGGTTCCTAAAGGGATTTTCAATCAATTTTTGGGTTTTTTTTTTTTTTTTTTTTTTTTTTTTTTTTTTTTTTTTATCTTTGGGTATGTAATAAGCTGATGATTAGAGATCTCATGATTGGTGATTTTATACTCTATCATGCTCCGTCACATAAGATCATTTGGACTTGAAATGTTGATGCAATGAACACAGGGCTCCTTATACCTAGGATCAGATTCTTGATTCCATATAAAAGGAACAACTCAGCCAAAAACATAATCTGATGGTTAAATCCCCAATCTCCATGATTGATTTTATTACTCTATCGATTCCTTTGGGTAAGATTGGCTTGAAGAAAATACATACGATCTATGAGCAAGAGTGATTATTACTCAATCATTTACTATACATACATCGTACCCAAGAGTATGAAGTGAATATTTTTGTTTAAGTTTGAAGAAGGGAATGAAAGAGTAATAATTATAGAAATGATATTCTGAAATGGACTGGCAGGGTGTACGTGTTCTGGGGCTAGATTTGAAATGTCTACCCCCATTTAATTTGCAACTAATCCTAATTACTCCCTTACATGCGGTGTCTTCCATTTTATACTCCAATATTGGTTACTAGTAAGTCTAGTGTGTATATATATATATGAAACTCAAAGCATATAATATATTCATCAACTCTACCTTCGCTTTGCCATAATTAGCAAGCTAGAAGCAAGTTAATTATGGCTTCCAAATTGATATGTTTTTTGGTAATCTTTTCTCTAACATCACTTTTTATGGGTGCTTCTAATGCTTGGCTTATGCAGCCAGACTTTTATGCCTCTAGTTGCCCTAATGTTGAACAAATTGTGTACAATACTATGAAGCAAGCCGTTAGTAAGGAACCACGTATGGGTGCATCTATTCTTCGCTTGTTCTTCCATGATTGCTTTGTCAACGTAAGTATTTTCGAATCTATAACCTTATTATTTATTTAAGTTTTTTTTTTTATTTATTTTTTTTATTTTTTTTTATTGCAATACCATGTTCTATGTACATTATTAAACAATATACTACGACGTATGAAAAATTATTATGCAAAGATGGGAGAATTTCGTTATTTCCTTGTAATGTCATTATTGATTGTAATATTGTTGCATTTTTCTAGAAAGAAAATGGTTGGGAGGATGATGATTAGTTTGGACAATTATGGGTCCCTAGACAATTATATAGAAGGTTTAGAGAAAATGATGGATGTTATCTACATAAAAAAAAACTGAGTGAGAAAATGAAGAATTAAAAAATATATATACTTCGTTTATAATACTAACGTTACATGATCTATTGTCAAGGAAAAAAAAAATGCTTTACCTAGGGTTAGACCCCGGTTGCATAGTGAGGTTTGATCGCATTCATTAATATCATGAGAGACAACCCTAACCAATGGATAATATACAACTTTGATAGAAGCATATATATATATATATATATATATATATATATATATATATATATATATATATATATTAATAAATGATCTAATTTATTTTTAATATTGGCACAATGGTTAATTAAATATGATCCATACTTTTTAGGAAAAATCACATCTTTTTTGTCACACCCCTAAATAATAATAGATTAATAGAAGTACATACATAAAAGTCTTTGACCTAATTTTATCTCATAATGAATATAAAGGTTCATCCAAATAAATCATGTGATTAATTTAGTTATTAGAAATTATAAAAGAAATGTACGCTGAGTAGTAATTGTGAACAAAGAAAGTATATATGGTCGTTTTATATTTACGCTAAAGGATCAATTAAAATAGACTGGAATCAATATATACACTATATTGTTCATCTATTAGACTAACTCATTCATGTTTTTTTCATTCATTTCCGGTAACATTAGGGTTGTGATGCATCTGTACTCCTAGATGATACACCAACATTTACAGGGGAGAAAACTGCTAAAGCAAATGCAAACAACTCAATAAGGGGTTTTGAAGTGATTGATGCAATCAAGTGTAATCTTGAAGCTGCTTGCCCCCAAACTGTATCGTGTGCAGACATTCTAGCTCTTGCATCACGAGACGGAGTTAGATTGGTAAGCACATAAAACTCATAAAAATACTTTGGATTATAGATTTCATTGTGCACATAAATCTAAAGATTAATTAGTTTGTATTACTACTCCCTATCACTTGAGCTTCATTCATTGTTTAAGAACAAAAAGAAAAACATTACAAAATAAGCCATATTGCTTACTTCCTCCCTATTTTCCAAGCATAGGAAAATTGAAAAATACATGCAATGTTTTAGCTAGCATCTGTAACAAAAATGTGAATAAATCTATAATCTATAATAATATATACAGTCTGGTATATAATAATATATATACTTTCTCCGTTTCTTTATAGTTGCAACATACACTTTATTGATATGGTATTTAAGACAAATAGATCTCACATGATATAATACACTTAAAAAGGGGTTAAGAGGTTGTTAGAGGTATAATCAAGTGGCCATGAGCTTTAAATAAAGATAATAGTACAATTTTCACCATAAAAATCTTCCATTTATGTGTGTTGCAACTATTATAATATTTTCATTATAGGAAAGTGTTGCAATTATAAAGAAACAAAGGAAATAATCCGTATTAAAAAGCGTTTCAAATTGCATTAATCTTGTCACGTCGCTCATTCCATCATCTTTAATTCATCTAAGTGTTAACGTTTATGTCATCCCTTATAAACATGCATGGTTGGTATACAATATGAACCCATTGCAACCACAAGTTTGATAATAATCCCATTTGCTTATCTAAGTTGAAGTACATTGCATTGTATTATTTCAGAACCATATTAATGACAATTGAAAATGAAAAATGAAGTTGAATACAATAACTCAAGACGTACATTGTCTATTTATCCCACCAAAACTAGTTATTCAATTTAAACACCTCAATTTGTTCTTATCAAAATTTATTATTTTAAGATCCTACCACTTGATGTACCTAACTATATGTTCTCACATTTGTAGTTAGGAGGGCCCACATGGAAAGTACCACTAGGTAGAAGAGATGCAAGAACAGCAAGCCTAAGCTTGGCAAACCAAAACCTTCCACCCCCACGTTCAAGCCTTGCTAACCTCACTTCCCTCTTTGCAAGACAAAACTTAAACATCAACGAAATGACCGCCCTCTCCGGCGGCCACACCATCGGCCTCGCTCGTTGCATCAACTTCCGACCCCACATTTACAACGACACCGACATAGATCCCACCTTTGCAGCCACTCGCCAAGCCAACTGCCCTAAACAAGCTGGGAATGGAGACTTCAACTTAGCCCCTCTTGATCGTCAAACACCAAACAAATTCGACAACGATTATTTTCAAAACCTTGTTCAAAAACGCGGTCTATTACATTCGGATCAAGAGCTTTACAATGGTGGTTCTCAAGATTCCTTGGTGAAGAAGTATAGTACTAATCAAGCTGTTTTCTTTCAAGATTTTGTTGCAGCGATGATCAAGATGGGGAACATTAAGCTTCTTACTGGTACTAAAGGAGAGATTAGAAAGAACTGTCGCGTTATCAATTAGATTATTGTTAATATCATCAGTTTATTTCATAATTCTGGTTTTAATTACACTTGTACGTACTATATATAAATGGAAATTTTGTGAAAAACTACCTATTATAGTTCAGAATTTGCGAGAAACTACCTATTAAAAAAATGTTGTAATTGACTACCTAATTTTCGAAAAATGTTGTAATTTACTACCTTACGCCGGATTATGAATGAGTTTGACCAAAGTTCTCCGATGTTGACTTGGTCACGTGACCATCACGTGACACTTAATGACCCTTTTCTTTCACCAAGTGTCACGTGACCAAGTCAATGCCGGAGAATTTTGGTCAAACTCATTCATAATCCGGCATAAAGGTAGTAAATTACAACATTTTAAAAAAATTAGGTAGTTTTGTTTTTTAGGTTCTGTTCATTAAAAAATCTCAACAACAATCTCATTTTTAAGTATTTGTTAAAGAAGAATTTATATTGATAGATGTTTTGCAATATCATAGTGGTCGGCGACATAGTGATTTAGGTTGAATGATTGGCGTTCTTCCAATTGTATAAATTGAGAAGACGACTATTTTTTTTTTTTTTCGAGTCCCATCAGTTTGATCGGCACAAATTAATTAATTTTTCGCAAACTTGTTCGTGGATTAGGTAGTGACCTAAACTACTTTTGGTCATTGCATATAAGAATTATATGCTCTGTTTATATTTAAGGCATTTACCTATGTATACGTTGGGCGTGACCTCATAATTATATACTAAACCATAGCATTGATGGCTACAAATCTACAACAAGGGGTGAAAGGTATAAACTAGGAAAGAATATCTACAGTCAACTAATTTACAATTATTCAAGTCATAGGCTATAAACTAGGAAGGAAAATAATACACCTAACTAATTCACATTTACAAAGATATATACAATATATGTTTAGCATACAATATATTTAACACTTTCAAACATATATCATAATGGTTTATTGACGAAAGGTATATCAATTATTATAATTACCAAAATTTATCCTATTATTAAATATTAGTTATAATCTTATAATTTATTTTATAATAACCAAAATTATCCCTGTTTTATATATTAGTTGTTTTCCATTCAAAAAAAAAATATGTTAGTTATTATCCTATAATTAGTTTAATATTGTAATTAACAGAATTTATCCTATTTTAAATTATGTTTCATATTTTTGAGAATGAATAAAAATTGAATGTTTAAATCATGATGAATTTTATATTGTGATATAATTGAGTCGATAAAAATGATGATGATGATGATGATAATAATAATGATGATGATGATGATGATGATGATGTTTAATTCTAGGACGGGTTGTGGCTTTTGCGGCTCATCGAAAGCGGCTACTGCTACTGCTACTGCTACTTCTACTGCTACTGCTACTGCTACTGCTACTCCTACTGCTACTGCTACTCCTACTGCTGCTGCTACTGCTGCTGCTACTGCTGCTGCTGCTACTGCTGCTACTACTACTGCTGCTGCTGCTGCGGCTGCGGCGGCTGCTGGCTGCTGCTGCTGCGGCGGCTGCTGGCTGCTGCTACTGCTGCTGCTGCTGCTACTACTGCTACTGCTGCTGTTGCTGCTGCTGCTGCTGCGGTTGCGGCTGCGGCTACTGCGGCTGCTGCTGCTGCTACTACTACTACTACTACTACTACTACTACTACTGCTACTGCTACTGCTACTGCTACTGCTACTGCTACTGCTACTGCTACTGCTACTGCTACTGCTACTGCTACTGCTACTGCTCCTGCTGCTGCTGCTGCTGCTGCTGCTGCTGCTACTGCTGCTGCTGCTGCTGCTACTGCTGCTGCTGCTGCTACTGCTACTGCTACTTCTACTGCTACTGCTACTGCTACTGCTACTGCTACTCCTACTGCTACTGCTACTCCTACTGCTGCTGCTACTCCTACTGCTGCTGCTACTGCTGCTGCTACTGCTGCTGCTACTGCTGCTGCTGCTACTACTGCTGCTACTACTACTGCTACTACATCCAAGAATCCGTTAGTGGGGCTCACTTTTGACACATGTCACTCATTTATTGGATTAAAAAAATTTATTATTTTTTTTAAGAAAAAGAAAAATCCTAAATTGCTAAACCAGCCACCACCGCCGATGGGTTCCCACCACCGTCACCCAAACCTAACCCCCGAAGCTCCGAGACCGTCGCTGAACCACCGTCGTCACCATACCCCGCCCCAAAACCTCCGATACTGTCACCACACCATCGAAACCCCAACCTAAACTAGCCGAAACCCCAACCCACATCGTCGCCGAACCACCGTCAGCCGAAACCTAACCCTACCCAGCCAAAACCTCCCAGCCACTTCGATTCCTCCTCGAAAAAACCACCCCTGTACTTCCGCTTCACCTTCAAACCAGTCGAAAACCACTTTCGAAGCCCTAGCTAGGTCGATTTGCGGTGAGGCGACGACATGGGTGGTTTTCGGTGGTTCGTGGTAAGGGTTTGCACGAACTGATTGGTGGGATTTGCGCGGGGGAGGGGGGCCGTGGTGGGTGGGGATGATGGGCGGTGATTTCGCCGGTGAAGGAAGGGTTGTCGGCGTCAGTATGAGTCTCCGACTGTGGAGTCGCGGCCGCCGGTGGTGGGCTAGTGGCTGGGTTAGGGTTATAGAGTGTTTTTCTTTTTTTTTTTTTTTTTTACCTTTATTTTTTAAACCAATGTCTTATTGCCACGTGTCTATCTTGGGTCCCACTAACGAATTTCATCCAAAATTCAGTTAGAAGGTGGTGAAATCCAATTTTTGGATTTTTTTGTGGTGTTATTTTCAAAAAAATCCCAATAATAATAATGTCACTATTCTAACTAAATAGGAGAAACAAATTAATACAAGACAATAGACATGACCTAATATAATAAAATTTATGTAATTTCCTTACTTTATATAAGGTGGTTGAATATTTGTTTTAAAAATGAAAAGAAAATTATGTAGCTTACTTACATTATATAACACGCTTCCATATTTATATATTTGTACTCCAGGTAATTAATGACCTAAACATTTCTAAGTCATAACATTTTTATTTAATGTTATTTAATTAGTGTATCCTCTTTCTTAAAGTATCAATTGAAAGTCTAATAGATTTAAGTTTATCACTTTATAAATGAAAATGTTATCATCTTTAATTCATTGTTGTAACACTATCCTAAAATAGAAATATCACAATAGTAATAACACACTATAAAAAGGAATGTTTGGGGGATTTTTCTATGTGACTGGCTTCAACGTGTGGCTGGGGTTACTCGGTCAGGGGTGACTCGAGTTAGTCCTAACCGAGTAACCCCTCAAGTAACCTCTAATTGAATATTCCCACGAGTAACCCTGATCGAGTAACCCCTCAGGTAACCCATGACCGAGTAACCCTCGAGTAACCCCCTAAACGAGTAACCCCTGACCATCCCTTCAAGTAACCCTTGATTGAGTAACCCCTAATCGAACCCCTCAAGTAACTTCTGACTGAGTAACCCCTGATCGAACCCCTCAAGTAACTTCTGACCGAGTAACTCGAGTAACCCCTAACCGAGTCACTTGAGTAACACCGGCCACATGGTGTGGCCAACCATATATAAAAATTTGTGTTCAAATTAAAGAATGTACACTGTTTAGGGTAAAAATTACCCCAAATACGTGGTCCAATCCTATGGTGACACGTGGCCCAATAAAGAGGTGACACGTGTCACTATAGGAAGATTATGACACGTATGAAGAGCATGAGAGCACCTAAAAAAATAAAGAGAGTAAAGGCCTCCTTACATCATAAGGCCAACTACCCTTGAAAGCCGCAAAACGGGGCCTAGAGGGACACGTGCCCTACACTAATTGCGCAGCGAATCAGAGCACATATCTCTAGGTCACTTATTCTAAGGGCACAAATTCCTACCCCTATAAATACCCTAATCATTGATGATGGGAGGGGTGGATTGTGACATAACAATAAATAGAGCACTAAATTGCCCAACTTCTCTCTACTTTCTCACTCTAGTACTCTTTCCTTTTCAAAGTTTTAAAGTTAAAATTTAAAAATTCCTCTGTCTCTCTCGGTTTCTCTAGTTACTTCAAGATGTCTCATTATCTTCATCCTAATACCTTTGTATACCCTCACTATATGGGGAAAAACTTTCAACCTCTCCCAGTCCTAGAAGATGAAGCACCTATTAATTGGGAAAGTTGTGTTATTGGACGTGTGTGGGATGATAGGGACTTTTCTTTATCTCTTTATCAGCGGCTACTAGCCCAATTTTGGCATCTTTGTGCCCCAGTGACGGTTTTCAACTATGGTAAAGATCTAATATTTAGTTGTGAAACTTCTGAGGATGGCGATGAATTAGATGAGAGAGGGTGGGTCCATTTTAAAGGAAGTTTGGTCGTGTTACAGCGCCTTCGGGAACATGCAGTACCAATGAATCTTAATCTTCATCTTGCTGAGTTGTGGGTGGGCGTGGTGGGTCTACCTTTACGATATTCTACTCCTTAAGTTGCGGCGGTTGTATTAGCTCATGTGGGTGATGTAACGAACTTTGATGAATCTAATGGTCAGTTTCCTATACTTTGCCCTAGAGTTAAAATATTAGTTTGTTGTCGTTACCTTTGATTGCTGGTTGTTATTTTTCCACATTTGACAATCATGTCACGTGGGTGAAATTTAAATATGAAGGATCTTTAGATTTTGTAGAAAGTGTGGTTTAGTCGGACATAGTTCTACCTTGTGTGAAAAAGATCATGCTAAAATTAGTGGTCCTTTGGAACGTCATTATCGTCATATCCATTAGAATGGTGGTTATGTGCTCTTCGGACCCACGGACCTAGAATTATATTCAGACTCTTTGCAAGGAATTTTTCCTTCCCCAAGCGCTTAGACTACGGAGCTTTGGTTTGGAGCTCATGATGATGATGATCCGTTAGAATACGATGCGGATTCGCACCCCTCGGATTATGATGATGATGATGATGGAACAACGTTTCAAGGGGTTTTGTTAGACTCTTCATCTGAGTCCACATGTGGTTCGGGCAATAAACGATCAGTGGCAAGTATTCCAGGCTTTTTCCGCCCCCATCTCCA